CTGGGACCAGTGGGGTGGAAGGTTGTGAGAGCGAACTTTCCAATAGGTCCAACATATCAGATGAGTAAAACTCAAACAGATTTAAAGCAAACAGCTAGAATCTATAAGATTATAATAATGATATCTATAAGATCCAAATGGTCCTTTTCAGACTGATGCTAATCCAACAGAATGCGCAGCCAAATGTAGCAATTAAAGTAAAGCCTGTGTTCTACGGTGTTTTATTTTGAGCCAGGCAAGGAAGACTCTTCCTTTCATTAAAACGTGGGAAGAAATCTCCCGCTTCATTAGCACAACAGGGCAGACGTTCGGTTTCCAGAGTCAGGTAAGCGGAAATGGACGGTTTACTTGCAGGGCTGGACAACAACCAGCGACACCACAAGTGGCTTATTAGTGAAATTAACGAGGCTGTGCTATTTCAGGTGTATGCTCCAGAGATTATACCGTCCCTACACACCCATAAAGCGGGGCTTGCTCTACACCACAGCTGTCATGAATGACAAATGCAGTGTCAGTAACTACTTGAGGCTTCACCACTTCAACGACTGCATGGCTACAACACAAACGCGTGAAGGAATGTAGATCTGCCATCTCCTCCCATGCCAACATTCACACATAAGTCTTGAGCGATCTGTGTTTATGTGTTGGAGATGACACTCAGCTACTACTACACTTAATTTTAACTCAATAACTGTTAAAGTGGTTGAGTTAAATTTGAGTTAATATATTGCATTATTACTGTTTAGCATATATCTCGGATCCTTGTATACTGTTTCTTTTTTAATACTTTATGTTTTTGCTATTTTGGGGTGTAACTGCTACCTTGAGTACACAATTTCATTCCACCTCATGTACCACGTGTGATGCGAATGGCAATAAAGAACCTTGAACCTTAAAGCCATTCTTGTGTTTATTAAAGTCAAGTAGCTGTAATATGAACTTAATTCATAATAAAATCACATAGATGTGCATTAAATGATTACATTTTCTGACGTTAATTAAAATGTGTTCAGTTGTGCTATGGTATAAGCGGCACTTTGGATCAGGTGGTAGAGATGTTGCTTCTTAGTGAGAACGTACCTTTCTGGGTGGATGTTCTCTCCGTGCATGTGTGGGTTTTCTCCGGGTACTCCCAGTTTCCTCTCACAGACCAAAAACACGCATGTTAGGCTGATTGGTAACTCTAAATTGTCCCTAGGTGTGAGTGAGAGAGTGACTGGTGGTTTGTCTTGTTTGTCTCTGTGTCCCTGTGATGAGACCTGTCCAGGGTGTCCCCTGCCTCTCGCACAGTGATGGCTGGATATGGGCACTAGTGACCCCCACAGCCCAAAATAGAAGAAGCAGGTAAAGATAATTCATAGATGCATCAGTATATTTTGCTAACAGTGGTGTAATTTACGTGATACACAAGCATACAGAGTATACTCACTTAAAAGTGTCCAATGACACAAGACCATGCGTCATGTATCAGCAATGATACATGATATGGACTCGTGTCATTGTCAACACATTTGGAACATTTTATAGACACGTTGAGTTGCTTCAACCTGTTTTTTGCATAATTAATTCTTCTGTACTTACTACTTAGTACTTGAACATGTTTTGCTTTGATACTGTTTAATAAATTCTATAACAGGTTTTTAATACAAAGCCAACTATTGTACAGAGTTTGTTGTACATTTATTCCAATATAAGCATCAGAGAAATTTGGAAATGTTCAATATGCTTAAAAATCAAAAATAAATGAACTATTACATTGTACTAACCAGTGTACTTTGGTTTCTAAGCACAGTATACCCACTATCAAAATGTAGACTACACCACTGAACTTGAGCTACAGCATCTGTTTAAGCGAAGAATATGTATTAAGGATAACTCTCAGACACTACTACTCCAAAAATTAACTCAGTTCTGTAAAAGTTGAGTTATAGGATTTGTTTGTTTTCTAAGCTTGATCATCTGTGGTGGCCTTCTTGAACTGGGCTGACTTCAAACGTAGTAAATGCGCATCCAATGCTCAGTTTCTGATTTTAAATAAAATCTATCAAGTGGCTTATGGGATATTTTGCTTACAGCCACAACCAATTACACAATTACAAAGTATGTATCCAGTACCTATAGGGTATGTACTGTGCAAATACCAGACACATTTAAGACCTTTTTATGTGCTTTCATGAGGTACTCTTAGCTGATGAGGGGAATTTGGGATCAAGTGTTGTGCAAAATATGAGCTCCTTCAGAGGGTGATCAATTTCAATTTGAAGCTGTCTTCTGAGCTGCCAACATCAAGTTTTACCATAAATCCAATCAGTCATGCGTTGCTGCAAACTGCAAAGACTCATGCGCAGAATAACTGATCAGAGCAAAATTCAAAGCTGTCAGACGGCAACACATTTGTTTATTTGTACAGCCCTGAACGATATGTAAGGCCTTTCTGTAAACTGCATTATCAACCTGATATATAACCTTCAGGTCCTTAGAGTCTGCAGATGACTAATACCTCACTGTGTTTCATCATTTTCCCTGAATTTCTGACCATACCAGCAACTTAAAACTGTGCTTTTACATTCCTTAGATGAGAAAAAAAGAGTCAGACAGAAAAAGACACATTTTAAAAACGTTTTCTTTAGTCTATATTCTTTAGGTTCTTGATGATTGCACCAGCCATGTTAGAAGTTTGAACACCTTCTCGTTGGAACATGTATTTATTTTTTTGGTCATGCTAGTCCAATATTGTTGGAAAAGGGGAATCCTCCATTCTCAATCAATCAACTTTACAGACCTGTACTGTATGTCATTAAATGTCTGCAAATATCTAATTAATGGGTTTTAAGAGATGGGGCAGTCAACCTGGGATCAGAAAGTCGTGGTTCGACTCCCAGCCGTTCCCACATGCCGTGATGTCTCTGAGCAAGACACCTAATCCCTAATTGCTCCCTGGGCATAATCATAACTGCTCACTGCTCCACCTGGGTATATCTCGCATGTGATGGTTTAAATGCAGAGAACTCATTTTGCCGTTGTATGGGAACGTACAATGATGACAATTTTAAACTTCCCTTCACTAATTGTAGATATAAAAGCCCTACATTGATGTGATTTGAACAGTGACTTTTTATTCTCCACCAAATACTGTCCTGATTTTCCGAGTCAACGAGTCCTTTTGAGACATTCACTTGTGGCATACCTCCAAAATAAAAAAAAAAAAAAAAAAAAAAAAAAAAAAAAAAAAAATATAT